GGCTACCCTCGTTGCCCCCATCAACGACACAGCGATGACTGAGACCGATCAGCAGGCCGTCGACTGGCGTTTGGAGTTTATCAACTACCTCTCGCACGGCACACTGCCAACCGAGAAATGGGAGGCTAGACGACTAAAACGACGCAGCGCACATTATGCCGTCATGAATGACAAACTTTTCAGATACAACGCATGCGGGGTCCTCCTCAAATGCATTCACGGCGATGAGATTCGACGTGCAATGGCCGAAACCCATGACGGTGCTGGAGGAAACCATTCCGGCGGACGGGCCCTAGCCTTAAAGATCAGAAACGCAGGACTCTTCTGGCCGACTATGAACTCGGATTGTGAATCCTATTCTCGTCAATGCGACAAATGCCAGAGACATGCCCCTGTTATACATTGCCCAACGGAAGTGTTACAAACTTCTACCCCTCCTTATCCATTCATGCGCTGGGCTATGGATATCATTGGCCCCATGGTTTCTTCCCGTCAGCGCCGCTTTGTCTTAGTCCTTACAGACTATTTCACTAAGTGGATCGAGGCTGAAGCTTTCCCTCAGGTGACTGACAAGGAAGTACGCGGTTTCGTCTGGAAGAACATCATCTGTCGTTACGGTCTCCCGTATGAAATTGTAACCGACAACGGTTCACAGTTCATGTCTGGGAATTTCAAGGACTTTTGTGGCAAATGGAATATTCGCCTGAGCCCCTCCACACCAAGATACCCGCAAGGGAACGGTCAAGCCGAGTCCTCTAACAAGCTCATCGTAGACGGCATCAAGAAGCGTCTGGACCTCAAGAAAGGACACTGGGCTGAGAACTGGACGGTGTCCTATGGAGCCATCGCACGACACCAAGGGGAGCGACTAAATCAACCCCCTTTTCTCTTGCATACGGTGTCGAAGCCATGGCTCCAGCTGAAGTGAACGTTTCTAGCCTCCGGCGTTCTCAAATGCCGCAACACGTCGAACTCAATGAGGACATGCTCCTCAACGCGCTTGACGAACTGGAGGAACGTCGCGATCAAGCTTTGCTCCGAATCCAGAACTACCAACACCAGAAAGAGATGCTGCTGCAACAACCCAAGCATCAATCAAAACTTACCCGTCTGTGTTGAAGAGCGGCTTCCGCGTATTCATCTTTAAAAAAGAGATCTCCAACAGAAGGCAGATCAGCCGGCCCACCTCGGATTTGACGAGTAAGCTCTGCGCATGGACCCGGGTTATGAATCAAAGGAGTCCTCTCGTCATATGAGAAGCTCACGCGATCCGCAAACTCGACCCAGGGTCTCTTGCCAAGCGAACCTTCTGATAGGCTCCTCCGAGAGGGAGACTTCCTCTTCAGAGGGACATCGGTTGGGAGAGGTTCAATCGACTGGTTGCGCGCTTCAGTCCCGTCACCACCGGCGCTCATCGTCCCCGTAGTATCTGCTGAAAGAGGTTTGGGACTTAGAGATTTCGGTGCCTCCTTAGCAACCTTCCTCCTCTTTTTCTTCGGACTTCCCTCCGAACCTTTCTCTTTAGGATCGCCATCGGCAGAACCGTCACGCGATCCTTTTTCCCTCTCCCTTGTTTCCAGACTATCCGAGCGCCCTTCGGAAGGATTAACCTCAGCCGACGACCCTACTTCCTTCGTCACGGGGCTCTTCTGCTTCTTCTTCTTCTTCTTCTTCTCTTCAGGAGCCGGAGGATCAACTTCAGACTGAACGATTTGACTTGGATCGGGTTGCTGAGCAACTTCAGCGTCGTCATCACCAGCCGGAACGACCCTAGAAGTCGTCTTCTTCAGCAACTGGAGTTTCCCCTTAAGCAGAGCACTCAAATCTGGTCTTCACGACATCTCCCTCGCTTGCTTGAGTAGTTTCTGTTGTTTCCTGGTAAACAAAGACAATCGAGACTTGCGTGCCGAGATTATCAACGGCTGTCTTGATTCCCAATCGACTGCGAAAGCAGAAAGAGAAAGATAACCGTTAGTCTGTTAGCCGGAACCTAAAGTTGGATATATAAAAAAGAAACCTTTACCTCTCTCTATGCGAGCCTGTTGTCGACGAATCCACTCACGACTCAGATCCGGCCAATTCAGATGGCTTTGGGTTGCAATGGCTTGTGCGATCTCGAAGAAATTTTCCGGGTACGCGATCGTATTCGGATGACGACCTGCAAAAGTAAAAGGCAAGGTCAGAAAACCGACAAACGTAGCAAACAACACGGTGCGCGTTTTCTACCAATTTCTTTGTTCCATAACACCGGGAAGTCGTCTTCAATGGCTTCCGCAAACGCATACTTATCGGCTTTGACGTAGAAGTACGAACGCTGCCAGTTCGGTGTCTTGCGGGGCTGACCGGTCAATACGTTATAACTTGGGCGCATCTTAACGGAGAACAAACCTCCCCTCTCTGCCTTCGTAGAAGTCAACTCTTCGAACACTCTCACGCTCATGGGAACATCTATCTCCGCAGCCATCACCATCAACATAACAGCGTTCCGAATCGAGCCTATCTTCAGCTGGCTGATTGCTACTCCCCGCCTCCTCGCATACGCCGAGATCAAACGCGGGATTGGAAACCAGAGCTTCGAGTCATCCTCGAAGTACGACTCATAGAGACATTGGAAGCCGACTGGAGGCGACCAAGGCCTCTGCTCCTGGGTAGGAATCGCGTAAGTCACGCCGGCTCCTCTGCAAGACTGCAGAATACTTCTTACGGTTGAGTGATTAGATCGAGTTCCGAAGACGTTCTCCCAACGTTGGCCTTCTGCCCAAGGATCCCGCGCCGACTCCGGAGGAAGAGCATTTAGCTCCTCGAAGGTGCCATCGAGATGAAGAATGGTCGGCTTGCATTCGATCAAATCGAATCTAACGATTCGATGCCTTAACCATAGAGTTCGAGGGCTCTGATCCGGCGACGCCGTGTCCTCACCACCCTCATCGGAGCTCGAACTTTCGGCATCCTCCTGATCGGACTCGTTACCCGAGCGACTAGAATCTCCCTCTTCACTCTCTTTTTCGCCGGCTAAATCGCCCTCCTCTCGCTCAGACCCGCTAGCCGCGCGACTAGAATCCCCCTCTTCTTCGGCGGCTAAGTCATCCTCCTCACTTGCTAAATCTGCGGCCGAGTCTTTGTGCGGCTCGAGCCTCTCCCTACGCAAAGCGTCGCGATGAATTAAACTGAAGTCTTCTATTGGACTTCCATTCGCTGTAACATCATCGGCTTGACCGGTGGCGCAGGCAATCCCTTTGCCTTTTTCCTCACGAGATAATCGCCCCGACGAAGCCATAACCCGAAGCAGAATACTTAGAGAGAGAAAGCTAAAAGTAGAGAGAAGGGAGAGAAGAAAGTACCTGAGCTTGCAGAGAAGAATAATGAAAGAGGGAGAGAATCTACCTATTTATAGCAAAGTCCTGAGGCACGATTCTCTAAGTGCAATTAATGCATTTAAACGGGCCTAAATAAGCCCATTAACTGCAGAAACCCAGAAGATTATCCAAGATCTATTAACCCTTAGCCTAATTCAGTTTGGTTAAGCCCTTAAAACCGGTTTACTCCAACCGAGATTAAACCAGAGCTAAACCGAGCAGCGACTGAGATTGAACCAGAAGGCGGTTAGAAGCTGAACGTGCACCTCAACTCGGATGATCTACTCAAACTAAGTGTTACTCCACGAGTAATGACTTAGTTAATTTGCTAGACGAATTAAGATGTGATGCCTTTATGAGACAATAGAAGACACACTAGTCGCGAGACTAGATGCGCTTAAGGTGTCGCCTAAACACACTCTCACAGGCATCAACACAGTCATGTTACTAAATAAGCTCAAGATGACGCCTTTATGCGACAACAGAAGACATCCTAGTCGCGAGACTAGACACGCCCGAGGTGTCGCCTAGATGCGTTCCTGGCCAACGCTCTAGTCGCGAGACTAGACACGCCCGAGGTGTCGCCTAGATGCGTTCCTGGCCAACGCTCTAGTCGCGAGACTAGACACGCCCGAGGTGTCGCCTAGATGCGTTCCTGACCAACGTTCTAGTCGCGAGACTAGACACGTCCGAGGTGCCGCCTAAACCCGCCCTCACAGGCATCAATTCAGTCGTGCAACCAGACGGGCCCAAACTGGTGCATTTACGCGACAATGGAGGACATCCTAGTCGCGAGACTAGACATGCTCGAAGTGTTGCCTAAACATGCTCATGATCGACGTTCTAGTCGCGAGACTAGACATGCTCGAAGTGTCGCCTAAACGTGCTCATGATCGACGTTCTAGTCGCGAGACTAGACGTGCTCGAGGTGCCGCCTAAACGCGCTTGTGATCGACGGTCTAGCCGCGAGACTAGACACGTCAGAGGTGTCGCCTAAACGTACATTCTTGCAAGTTTCCCCATTTGATCAAACCTGACCCACAAATTCACTTAGAGTCCTACGGACTCATAAGTGAACTGGGGGGACTTATTGTAGGAGATGGGTTATACCCCTCCACAAGGCCCATCAAATGAAGAAACTTAGCCCAACATGACAATATTCTCGGCCCACCGGGTAACACCAAGACGACTCGGCATGAGACGCGTTTAGTAGCGCGACTAAACGTATTCTAGAAGAGTCGGCGGAAGTACGATTTACCCGGACTACTAAACGGGCCTAGCAATAATAAGGCCCAACAAGGCTCGGGTAAACTAGGGCGAACACGAAGATTGGATCTATAAAAGGAGAGAGGCAGCAAAGGGAAAAGGGGATCCGGAATTGGACATACTCACTTGGCGGCTAGATCTAGGGTTTCTTAGCGACTAGGTGGTTAGATCTAGGGTTTACTCACCCTCCTGTTTAGTCACCTACTCGTTTACTCACCTTCCTGTTTAGTCACCTTCCCGTTTACTCACCATCTTGTACTTCCGGCTAGTCCGCCTCTTTACTCTTCTCTTTGTAACTCCTTGTTCAGATCTAATAAAAACGTCTTTGTTCGCCCTCATCTCTCTTTATATTGTTTCAAACCATTTTCACCTCAAACAATGCTCAATGTCTCGTTGGCACCTGTTGAAGTCAAGAAGCCAAGTCTACCTCTTTTGTCACAACCAATCAACCTTTCAGATATTTTTCCGAATAGATCAAAACTATTTGTTGGATTCTCTGCTGCAACAGGGAACGCTGTGAGTGATCACTATATTCTTTGGTGGAGTTTCAGAACAAGGAAAGGAGAATCATCACTGAAGCGACTTGAAATCTCAAAACTTCCTCAAGTTCCTTGTCCTAAACCTCTTCCTACAGTTCATCCTAAAGCTCGGCATAAGATGCTACCTACATGGATTTATTGCTCTGGTTGTTTGTGTGGTGATTATGGTGTTGGCTGTTCTTGCAGGAGTTTATTTCCACAGGAGGAAGAAGTTTTCAGAAGTTTCTGAAACATGGGAAAAGGAGTTTGATGCACATCGGTTCTCTTACAAGTCTTTATACAAAGCAACAAAAGGGTTTAGTAAAGATGAGTTTCTAGGAAAAGGAGGTTTTGGTGAAGTCTATAAAGGAAACCTTCCTCAAGGGAGAAAGATAGCAGTGAAGAGAGTTTCCCACAATGCTGATGAAGGTATGAAGCAGTTTGTGGCTGAGGTCGTGTCCATGAGATGTCTGAAACACAGGAATCTTGTTCCGCTTTTCGGTTACTGCAGGAGAAAGCGTGAGCTTCTTTTGGTCTCAGAGTACATGCCAAACGGTAGTCTCTGTTAGTTTTCTTTATAGAAGCATTAACTTGTATTACCACTCTCAGTGAACAAGCAAGTCAAAAGTTTAATTTTATTGGATGAAATTAGCAAATCTTAAAATCAAGGTACGAGGATGACTCTATTCCATCAGTTTTAAAGAGAATATACATAGTAATTTCAAGCAGAAGCAACCAAGAGTCCGTTGTGTCGGAGAAGAGACTCTGGGGAAGGTTCTCGTCATCTGAACTCCACAAACACCTGCTCAGTATAACAACGGCACCACAACATTTGAGTAACCGGCTTGTATATATATACACAAGTACAATGAAGAAGTTTTACTTGAAGAAGAACCTCCACCAATATTTGGATTATTGTTTACAGTGTTTCTTTGTTTCAGTTTATAAAACTAACAAGAGTTCTACAAGTCTAAACTCTGTTGGAGCAAGATTCAAATGATTTATAAAGCTTTATAAATTAGTTTATGAATATCAATAATTAACTTATAGAATCCAGTAGATATTTTATAAAGTGTTATAAATCAATTTATAAACCTTTATGAATTAATTTATACACTCTTGTAAATTAAAATAAAATCTCCTATATTAGTTTATAAGATTACATAAATCAGTAAATGAACCCTTATAAACCTCTATAAATAATATATAAGCTTTTATATATACTATATTAACTCTTATAAATGTAGATACCTTATAAATGTTTTATAAACCCTTATAAGTTATATATAAACACTTATAAATGACTTTTAAACCTTATGAATAATTTATAAATCCTTATAAAATGATTTTATATGTACTCTTATTTTAAATCTATTTCATAAAGTTTGTCAACAACATATAAAATTTTATAAGATTTCTGGATTTTATAAGGTTTTAGTTGCTTATCGACAGAAGCTTCACTTTTTAATTCACTCTTGCTCAATGCAGACATGGAGCCACTGAGAACTTATTACATGCAATCTGAAGAGCATGAATCCAACAACCAGCCTGTTGTGTATATTGGGGTTGATAATACACTTGCTGCAGTTATCCGCTTTGAAGATAAAATCAGGGAAGATGCTGCACAAGTCATTGAGAATTTGACTCGGCAGGGAATTGATGTGTACATGTTGTCTGGTGACAAGAAGAGTGCTGCGAACTATGTAGCCTCTGTTGTTGGTATTCCTCAAGAAAGGGTATGTTCTTCTCTTCCTGCTATCCCCTTAACTCCGTAAAAGTTGCATAGGAACTGATGATAATGAACTGCGGATGCACTGATCTCAGATAAGGATTTATAAAACTATTTATAAGGGTTTATAAAACCATGTACAAGAGAAACTCTTATAAGAGAATATATAAAGTCATTTTATAAGGATTTATAAATTGTTCATAAGGTTTAAAAGTCATTTATAAGTGTTTATAAATAAATTATAAGGGTTTATAAAACATTTAATAAAATCTTATAAATGTGCAAAATTTTGATATTTCCTTAGTAAGAATTCAAAAGTTTTTATATTATTTATCAACTCTTCATTTTAGAGTAGTGGAGCTTCCAGCAAGAAAGCTCACTATACTACCATAGCCCGAGAAACTTTCAAATGACATTAAAGCAGTTCTCCAAGAAGACAATGATGAAGTGTCTGAGTTCTTAAAGTTAGGCACTATGTTACTGAACCTTTCTCCTTTCATGGAATCTGGGTGGCCAATGGTCTCTAGTTCAGACATCTTCAGGAGTGAGTTTCACAGACAAAACTCCAATGTTCTCATTTGAGATTTTTGATCTTAGTAGTTCTTGGGATCGGGCAAATAAATTCTTGCAAATCAAACTATAAACCTTTATAAATCATTTTATAACACAGAAAAAAATCAGTTTACTCTATTTCAGTTTATAAACATTTATAAATTAGTTTATAGACACTTGTAAATCCATTTATAAACCATTATAAATTCATTTATAAATCCTTATAAATCAATTTATAAATTCTAATAAATAAATTTATAAACCCTTATAAATCAATTAATAAAATTCTATAAATGTGCAAAAACTTGGTATTTCATTTTTAAGAATTTAAAAGGGTTTGTATCATTTATAAACCCTTTTAAATCTGTTTTATAAACAGTTTATAAATATATATAATCTGTTTTAAAGTCTTTGTAAGTGTAATTTAAGATTCATAAAGGTTCTATAACGGTTTGTTAAATTTCTTATAAGGTTTATGAAGCCATTTCTAAGAGTTAATCTTATGATAGTTTATAAATCATATAATAAGATTAATGAATTTATAAAGATTTATAAAGCCAGTGTGTTGCTAATGGAGACGGTCTCAAGCACGATGATTCCACCCTAGTTACATAACAAGTTATGTAATGACATTATGATTTAATGAAAAGTAGATACATGGGATTTTGAATTTTTTTTCTGATGAGTTCCCACTAATGTCAAATGAAAGTTTACAATAAGCGAAACATCATACAGTTTCTATTACTAAACAGCTCAAAACAACATAAGGTTTGTTTGAGTCTTATTTATTTATGGGATGTGGTAAAGTAAGTGTTGAGGACTACTACATTTGGGAATAAGCAGGGCCTCCACCACCTTCAGGCACTGTCCACTCTATGTTTTGCTTTGGATCTTTAATATCACATGCCTGTTAGATAGAAAACACCAAACAACCATTTTATATAGTCAAATGTATAAACATACTTAAACACAAAGAAGATAAAAGTGTGATGCATATACCCTTATGCTTGAGATAAAAACCAGTAAGAAAATGAATTTATAAAGATTTAGAAATCAACTTCTAAACCCTTAATTTAGTTTATAAGCCTTTATTAATGGCTCTCACATGGAAAAATATACATAAAAAAATTGGGGATGAGACCTGGGACTCTCTCTCAAAGTTAAAAGACAATGTATACTTCTTCTGAGAACAGTGGTCACTTTCTTGGTACATTGCTCTACTGAAATGGCACGTTCCTAGTCGTGTTTCAGAGGGAACACACAACTTTCTTCTAGTAATAATTGCTTTGATAATCACACCTATTTATCAGATTAAGATAATGACAGAAATCCAAGTCCGGAATCCCCTCATTTGAAGTGTATGTTTTTTCTTTAATATTCCATAGCTTTGAACATGCATATAGTTTTAGAAAACAATCTTTAAAAATGTATATTTACCAAAAAAAAGCACAAGTTTAAGGAGGATTCTAAGCTTTACCAAAGGAGGCAACTTAATAAATTCATCAGACAGATAAATATATCAAAAAGTAGAGATGTTAAGATACAGAGGCAACTGCAACTTGAGTACTTTCTTTATCCTTTGCCTCCTTAAGTTGCTTCCACTTCTCAACGGTGTCGATAAGCTCCCCGGTTTTGATAAGATATCGCACCTTCTGTTCATCTTCAAGGACCTTGTGACCCACCCTACTTACCACCTCCTTTTCTTTTGAATACAGCATCACATATGAGTTCACCTGAGCAGGCAAAGACATGAGCTGAGGCGAATCAAAGATGTCAAGATACGGCGGCTTATCAGCGTGTTATCATGATGCTATAACCAATGTGTCCCAAAATTTGTGCAAATGTATAAAACAACTCATATGGTCACCTGGGACTCAATCATATCTTCTGAATAATAACCATTGAAGTATTCATCAATTATTCCTATCAATGCCCTACAAATCACAAGCATTTAGTTATAAGGGAAATCTGTTTAGAAAAAAAGGATATAACAACGCCTAACCACAATTAATACAAGCAGAATAAAATGAAAGTGATAGATATAAAAACTAAGCACAAAGCCGAGGAGTACTTTTATTCACAAAAACAAGACTACGAATGAAATTGGAAATTGATTAAAAACCATTGACTTAGGGGGAAAATAATCTAATGAATGGCCTAAGAAAATTTAATGTTCAACCGAAAGAAGTGAAAGTGATAGATACACAACCTATACACAGAGCCAAGAAGTTCAATATTCACAGAAAACAATATTGGGAGTTAAAGATGAAAGAATAATCAACTTTGTGAACATACCAAAAGGCATTCTCTTCGAGCAGCATCAAACTGCAATACAAGCGCAGCAAAGAAATTCATAGCCTGCAGGATATGAACTAGATATTAATCTTAATTTACCATTTCCGGTACTAAAGTAAAGAATCATGATATTGGTTAAGAACCAATACCTGGCAGTATCCAACAAAAGGATTATGCCTAGCATAAGCAGTAAGCAAACGCCGCAGAGCATTTCTACCATCATCATCTAGTGCGGGATGGCCTGGAAACATCCGAGGCAAGTCTTGTAGTTGATATAAGCAACGGCATAAGAAATATAATCAACTTCAAAGCTAAGACTGCACAAGTAGGTAGAGGGAGTCAACTCTCGGCAAATTATACGGTACTACCTTTTCTTTCTGTCCTTTCCATTTTTCCACAACAGCAAGGGACTCTGTATTTGAACCTTTCTCATCAACATGCTGCGTATCCTCCTCAGCTATGTTGTTCCCAGAACTATCTTCAGCAAGAAGGTTTTGGTAATAATCTTTTCTACGTCGTTTCTTCACACCCACAAATGCTTGCCACAGCTGAAAATATGTAAAGTTCACGATTGAACAAGAGCTTAGGCCAACGAACTACAGATGGAGCCAGAGCATGACAAAAAATAGAATTAGAAGGCAGCCATGTAGATATGACACGATTTATTACCTCCCCCCTCAGAGCCATGGGTACACCACCTCGGATAAGCATTTCAAGTTCTTCCTTCCATGGACAAGTAGACACTGAGAAAGAAGTTACATCACCAGTAACAAGTATGCCAGAGACAGTAGTACCATCGGAAGACAAACTATCCTGAGAATCCGACCTCTCAACATCATAGAACTCATCTTCAGAATCATTCTCAGAAGCTCCCTTGGAAGATATCCTCAGAATGATGAACACCAACTTTATCATTCACCACCATGAAAAAACCTCTCCCCACTAGGATCAAACCTCACAAGACTCGCCTTGTGTCCCAAACTACAACAAAAACTCCTCTTTCCTTTCACAAGATTCAACATCGCAAAGCACTCGTCACACGACACAGCCGAAGCAAGCTTCCCAGAAGGATGAATCGCGAGATCATTACAACCTTCTTATGAGGACGAAAGGACTTGAGGAGAACAAAAGGTTCAGTGTCGAAGATCGCGACGGGGCCATCGGCGGCGGCGGAGATGAGATTGCGAGGGAAGGAGAGGGAAGAGGGAGTGTAGAAGGAGAGGGCGGTGAGTGAAGCTGTGTGGTTATGGCCGAGGAGGGAGTCGAGGGAGGATGTGGAAGGGAGGTCGTAGAGGTTAATTGTGTCATCGGAACCGCCGGAAGCAGCGGCGTGGCCGGATCAGGTGACGGTGGTGATGGAGGAGATGTGGGAAAGGTAGGAGCAAGATGAAGATTTGATTTGGTAGCGAGACGATAGATCTGCGATAGATCTGGTCTTCGTATCCTATGGGTAGTTATGTCATTTATTTATGAGTGTTCTAGGTATTAATGAAAATGTCCTTCAAGAGAAGGTAAATATGAATAAGGGTACTTGATAATGTGTAAAATTGCAATTCTCCCCTAGTATCTATTTTATTAAAAGAGAAGTCATGACTCACTTCATGTGTGATATTTTAGTTTGAATCATCTTTAGAGTTTTATGAAATTTTACATAACATTATAATATCTTTTCATATCTTTAATTTTTGTTTAAAATACAAATAAAAAGTTATAAAAAAATTATAACAAAATCTTTTTAAAATCTTTTAAAAATCTTTTAGAATCTTTTCAAGATATAGTTTCAATGAGTATTTGATTAAAATTTTAACTATCATAAAATATAATTAAAATTTTAATTTATTTTTTATTTATAAAAAGTTAAAATTATGTAAAATACTTTTAACAATATCCCAAAATTTTGTTTATGTATTATATAGTTCCAATTTAATTTATATTTTACATATATGTCAAATTTATAAATAAAAATATATAAATTAGTAATGTTACATAATAATGTTTTTAAAAATTGTTACAAAAATACAAATTTATAAATTTTATTTTAATAATATTATAAGTCACATAAAATTATTATAAAATTGGATAGCGTACAAAATCAAATTATACTTATTTATTGATAAATTTTATTATATAATTTCAAATATTTTCGTATTAAAATACCCGCACGGTTGTGCGGGTCGAAATCTAGTTTTATCTATTAAAATTTTAATGGTAAAATTGGTTAGTATAAAGTTAAAAAGTGGTATGTTAAAAGTGTTACTTCAAGCAATATCTCAAAAATATTTTGCAAGATTCTTTTTTTTTTTTTGAAAAAGGTTTAATATAACAAGATTCGTGTAATATAATCCAGTGAAATGAAGCTAGAAAATAACAAACAAACGAATACGAACATAAAAGTAAATTAAATTGCAACACATGGAAAGTGCAGACTATGTTAAGCTATTTGGCATTAGATTAAACCGTTTTAATTGAAGGGTTCACGTGTCGCATCATAACGCAGCATGGCAAACTCTACATATCACAATGTGAAATAAAGAGCAAACTAGATATTTATCGAAGTCGTACCTGTTGAGAGGGGAACCCACGAACAGAAAGGGTGTGGCACGTGTCATATTCTCTGTAATATAATTTAACTGTGTAAGCGTAGACACATTGAACGCCTTGGCTATTTGGGCTAATTCATATTTATTGTGCCCCACCCCCTCAAGTTCGATACGCCACTTCTGTGTTTCTACTCTTCAGTTTTTTAATAACTCTCACAAATATTTTTCCTTTTGCCTAAATTACTCCTTTTTAGAATTGTTTTTCCTTTCTCTTATTTGATATTAATTTCTTCAGAAAAAATCATTTATTTAACATTTACTCAAACAATTATTTTTATTAAGTTTGTTTTTAATTTAACAATTAAACTAAAAACAGTTTTAATCACCTTGTCACAAAATATTCTTTACTTTGTTTTATGTTACCTAAACTATTTTTCCTTTTTACCTTTGTATTTACTCTTTCAAAAAAGTTAAAACATTTTTAATCACTTTGTCACAATTTTTACTTTTACCTTTGCTTTTGTGTTAACTAAACTATTCTTTCTTTCTATAATTTTTTTTAGTATTTATTTCTTCAAAATACAATTTTTTAAAAGTTATTCAAACATTTTTTTTATTATTTTTTTAGCAATTAAACTCTAATAAAAATAAATGGTTTACACTCAAATATTATGTTCACTATACTGTTTATTAATACTAGGTATGAACCATTGTTTTGCACGGGTTTTGACTGATGCTTTAATATCTTGAAAAATATAAAAATGTGAACTTTTTTCTTAATTATAGTATTTTTGCATATAATGTGTGAAACTTATTTTGAGAAATAAAATGTAATTTTCACGTAAGTTTCGTTTGGTATTGATGTTCAAATAATCATAGTGCATAAGTAGTTATTAGCAACCTTCTACTTAGTATGGAAAAAAAAATCAGACTTTAAATTTTAAAATCGAATCCAACTCTGCAGAAATATGAATCATAGTGAAATACAATAAATTAGAAAATTGAATCAAGACAATTGAATCGATGACAATGTTATACCATCTTAATTTAATATTTATATTAAATTTGTATGTTATTCTTGTTCTTCAGACATATTCTAATGTTTCCATTAGGGGTGGGCACTTTATCTGATACCCGAACTCGTACCCGAACCCGACCCGAAATATCCGAACCGAAATCCGAATCGAAGTAGCAAAATACCCGAACGGGTATTACCCGAACCCGAACGGGTATCCGAAGATAACCGAACATATGTATATATACCTATTTATTCCTAGTTTATTTGTCTCATTTTATTAAAAATATTTATATTAATGTTATATATAATTTAAGATCAGATAATATACATATAATTGTAAAAAAAAAATTTTTTACTCATTTAAAATGCATATTAAGCTTCTTATTTCCTATTTTAAACCAAATTTGCATCCAAAATTCAAAAATAACAACCAAAATAATGAATTTTATTTTCAATAATTTATTTTCAAAATTATTAATCGTGTAACTTATTAAACATTTTAAAAACAATTAAGTTAATAGTTAAATTTTAAATACATGAAACTTACGTAATAAAGAATTTGAAATTTTCTTTCAAAATCTAAATATCTGAACCCGACCAGCAATAACCGAACCCGAACTAAAAATATCCGAACCCGACCCGATATGTAAAAATACCCAAACGGGTTCTATACCCCAGTACCGAAATACCCGAAAACCCGAAATACCCGATCCGAACCCGAACGGGTACTCGAACGCCCACCCCTAGTTTCCATGATCATCACCTTAGAATTTTTGTGCATTTATTGTTATTTATATATACATTTGGTTGATTGACCTATTCATTTTTGAAGTATCTCTAATCCCGCTTTATATATATTTTCCTATAGTTTTTTTTTAAATACATACTTTATTATTAAGACGAACATTTCCATTGTATGAATCTATTATATAGTTTTTCTACTTTTAGGGAAAATATATTTTAATGATATTTCAACCTATATATTTAGAGACCAAAGTAGCATATCTCTATATTTTATTTTAAAAGTAGAGATACTCTATTACAAAATCATATTGGACAAATTCTACCTCTATAATATAATTTGTCTATTTTAAGTGAAAACATATAGATGAATATAAAAGGAGAATTAGAAATGATCTTAGTTGTTTAGTAAATGGAAAACATTGGATCACCAATTTTTATCTTGTAATTTTAGAGGTAATGAAACTATTAACACCTGCATTTTGATACTTCTTTGATTCTTTTAGTCACAAACAGATATGTGCAAAATGAAAATTATGTTTCTAAATCATGATTATGTGAATAGTAGTTTATGAATAGTATTGTAAAATCTATATGAAAATAATTTTCTTTTTTAATAAATTATGTCATAATATTAAAAAATTTATTACCATGTGTCATGATCAAATTAATTAGAAACTTTAAAATCTAAGTTTTATATAGTAGAAAATATATAAAGATTAACTTTATGATCTTGTAAAAACAAAAATAACTATCTAACAATTGTATATTTATAAGGACAATCACAATTAAATATTATAAAAAATCTAATATTGCAATTAATTTTGTTCATAAGGAAATTGTTTATCTTAAATCAATTTCTAGTGATTTTGTAATTATTTTAAACTCATACTAGATATTGACCCGCGCAACCGCACGGGTGTTTGTTTTCGTTTATAGTTAGTTATATAAACATTTCGTTTTCACTTGTAAATTGGTATACATTATAGTAATCACATATTTACGATATGTATAGTAAATGTTTTTCAAACATAATAATATTATATAATACGTGTTTTAATCAAATAGATTGTTTCCAATTTTCTATATTATACATGTTTTTCAAACATGTGTTTGTTTTTTCTTCTATATTTTATTGTTTGTTAGATTAGTATTTCATTTTTAGATAAAGTAATATAAATAAAACTTGATTAAATATTAGTATACTTTAATTTGCAAAGATATTATAAACTTCGAAGAAATTTTTGCTAAAAACTAAACTTATAACTTCATAAGTTAATATTATAAAGAATTTTATTTAAAAAATAATATTTTAAACAATTTATTATTTTTTAAATATAATTTTAAAAATTTACATTGAAATAATTTTTTTCTAGTATATATAGAGTATATAATTATTCCATATTACGAATCTGTGATTTTTGTTAATATATTGTGGATGCATTTATTTATTATTGACATATTTCTTTATAAATAATAGAAGATTCCTAAACTTATATCTATTGACATATTTTGCGTGATTAAGTTGGAAGGTGTGGGGTAATTTACCAAAACCAAATTGTCAAACGTATTTTTGTTATTATAGATATGATTTTTCATAAGATATAATAATGATAAGATTATTAGAGAGTTAATGTAACATGACTTTCTAATAATAGTCCATTTAAAAAAAAAAATCATACATGAAATCAAGTCATGACTTCTGTTTTAATATATAAGATATTTTACTTGACTTTAAAGTTAAGGTTCTTTAAGAAAAGGGATACTACAACTAAAATACAATTACGATTTTCTAATTATTTTAAACCAATATTTTTTATTTAACATTGCAAATAAGATACTATAAAAAGAAATAAGTTTTTTTAACATTCTCTCTTGTTTAATAATTTTAACAAAAAAATACTATTAAATATTTATAATAAAATAGTTTTGTAATTTTTTTTTAATTTGTAAGGAAAGTTATCTAAAATAATTTTTTGTGTTTTGTAATTACCTCAAACCCACAATTTTGAAAAGAAATACTATTATTAAAATTATTTATACGGGAATATTTTTTATTTTACAGTTTTCCGTTTAAGACTTAAAAAGAAAAGTAAACTAACTTTTTAAATTCTTTTGGTTTAAGTTTATTTTTAAAAGAAAATTTATCATCTTATACATGTTATAATCTTAAATATATAATTGACATGTGTCACAATCATGTTAATTATCAACTTTGAAAAAATAACTCTGAATTTTTTTTTTTTTTTACTAACTTATCTTAGTTTCTAATAATTTATCTTTTTTTATATTAATCATGAAATATATTTTAAAACAATTCACAGTTTCAAAAGGAAACTTACACAATTTTAAAAGGAAAACTACTATCAAAATATTTTTCACAATTACATTTTTTGTTATAATCTTGAAAAATATATTAACACATGTCAAATCTTAAAATATAATTGACATGTGTCGCAATCGTGTTAATTAGTAACTTTGAAGAACAAAACTTTATATAATAAATTTGCTTAGACTAAATATTACCTTGTAAAACTTGCTTATTATTCTTCTAAAAGTAAGATATAAATTTTTAAGAGTTAGTGTTAATTTTCTCATTTTAATGTAATTTTTTAAAAATATATCATTTAATTTATTCAAATATATTTAATATTTATATATTGTCCCATTTTCTAGATCCACCCCTGAGAGAAGCTACAATGTTAGAAGTCGGATTCCTAGAGCACGAGTTAAAAGTTGTTGAGAACAAAGACTACATTACGTTAGTTGTCCGAAGACAAGATGGGTTTGCTAGAGAGGTGGAATAGATTTGTTATATTTCTACTTGCGAAATCATAGTTGTGAACTAATGCTATAAAAAGGGATTGAAATTTAAACATACTGTAGTCCATTATTTTTTCAAGGAATCGAACTGATGATCGTCCCAAGCCTTACCTCTCTCTGCTTTAGTCTTCTTCTTCTTCTTCTTCATCATTTGGCTCGCTCTCAGAATCCTCATCCTCCGACTCAGACTCAGACTCTGCTTCTGGTGGCTCATATGCTTGGTCTGACTCCTCAGATTCTGAATCCTTTCCGTCCAAGTTCAAAATCTCCCATCCTCCATCGTCTATAAATCCATGAGGATCATCCGTTATTTTCTTGAGAATCGGTCTCCAGTTGAGATTCACTTTGCTCTCGTAGTACTTTAAATCGACAGCGTCAAGCCACTTCTTTATCCCTTCCAGAGAAGTTGTGTCGATTAAGTTAATCTTGAGCACAGCTTTCTTGAAGTCCTTGAAGACTATGGCCATGTCAAAGTACTTATGCCCAAACACAACTCTCTCGAGATTTACAATCTCAATCTCACTCAAACTAACCACCAAAAACGGGGTTTCAGTGAGCATAACCAAACAGCTTGACGCCGGGATGATGAAAACATGTGCCTTGTCCGTGACACCAGAGAAACCAAGCTCTCTCAACGGTTGATCAAACTCAAGTCCCCGCCACGTGGCACTGACCCAGGTTGCGAAATGATTGAAATCCATGTTGATCTTGTTTTTCCTATCCCGCTCCCTCTGCTCTTCCTCAATCTCGTCTGAGTCATAGACTGATGAACTCCTTCCACCGCCTAGAGACTGCACAACATCCATCACCTCCACGTAAAACTGGACGTCCTTTGTCTTCTTGTTTGCTACCATGATGTGGTTGTGCAAGTGGAAATGCAAGATGCTGAGCATCTCCTTCTCAGCCGGCTGGAAGAAGGCATGCTTTATGTTTGCAAACAGTTCATCTACCCGCTCATTAGCTCTAGCTGTTGAGTATCTGAAACCATTGGTATGAGCTTCAAGTGTCCCAGGAATCCGCTTGCGACCACTAAACTGCGGGCGGATCCACAGACCAGACAACCTGAGGGGTTTGAACTTGTTTCCTGCAAGCTGAAGCTTCTCCTGGTTCACCAGTGTCGCCCTTTCAATTCTTCCAGACTCACGAGCATTGACTTGCCGTCTCAGGGTCTTTATGGTCTGAACCACTTCACTGATATGCTTTGAATCCTTGGACCGGAATGAAACCTTTTTGAGGTATATAGCACCTTGGTTTTTCAAAGTTATTACGGGTGCACCCGGGACACTGAAAATGACACGGATGTAGTTGTTCCGGTTGCTATCCTGCTGGTTCGACACATTTCTTATCGCTGACACATGAAATGGAACCATGCTACCATAGATGGGTAACAATACAGCCTCGTTCTTCTGATCAACCTGGATCATCAAATCTCGAGGTTGAGGCACATCGTTAACGTTCTTGTAGGCAACCGAATCAGTTGAAATCTTTGCACTAGAACCGAAGCTGTCACCAGCAAGCCTTCTGACAGTTTCTTCAGTCTTCTGGCGTGCAAGCTCTGCCTGGTGCTGCTTCCGCATCTGCAGCTCACCTTTCGTGACCACATGATTATATGATCTAAGAGATGTCTTGTTGATGAAGTTCTCAGGACCGCTGGTCCTCCTTGCCTTCTTCCTAGGCTTCTCTTCTTTGTCGTAACTCACATCTGTCACTAGCTTGGAACACTTGGCCGTCAAAATCTCAGGATCCTCATCTTTAACAATAACCGTATCAGCCAGAAAAAGTGAGAATTTCTTCTTCTTGCTGCGGCTCTCCGTCTCACATTCCAAGTTCTGGAAACCAAGTGAGACATTAAACACCATCTGTGGTCTCAACACTTTATCATTCTTTGCATTGATGTTTAATCCAGACTCTCGGAACTCAAGACCAATACCAGTCCCAGCAGATTTAGTTAGCGTTTCAACCAACTCCGGAGCTCCCTTTTCAACCACTGAAAGTGCAGCATGATAGACAGTGCTTAACTTTCTTCCTGGCCTCAAAGCATTAATAGCAGCCTCATGTGCTTTGAGAAGAACCTCATAAGCCTTGCTCTGGAGATTAGTTGCATCTATTAGGTAGGTCCTGGCGACGTTAGAGCAATAACTATTGTACCGAGCACCAACAGCACATATAATAATGCTCCCTGGATCGTAAGTGAGCAGATCATCATTGCTTACAGCGCTAGGCTTGAGATCATACTGGCCTCCACTTTGAAATATAGGAGGGTAGCATATGTCAACACACTTTGGATTCAGCTTAAAATCGGCTTTCGTTGGATCAATTATAGCTTTCTCGGTGAGACTCATCAACTGAGAGTGGGTGACATCTTTCTCCTCATCAATGATCTTCTCAAGTCTTGGAACAACAACATTTTTCATCACGCTGTAGGCTAGATACGCTGCTTTCTTCACATTAATGATCTCAGTTTCTTCTTTAACAGCAAATATATCAGACAACCCCGCAGTGATGTCAACAAACTGGAACTTTGCATTTTTTAACCTCTCGGTCCATGTCTCCAGAAGCTTACCTTCAGGAGCTTCCCGAGCAATGTGTCCCACAACTTGGGACTCATTTCCATCACGGATGGCACGGAACACGGCATCCATTTGCCCAGTTCCATCATCACCTTTAGCCTTTACATGCATGACAACATCAATCCCTAACTCATCATGTGCAGGTCGTTTCACAACTTCAAGTAGAGCTGCTCTTTTCTTGCTACACAAGAAATAGATGTGCTTTGAGGTGAAGACCATTATAGTGTCGGGAAACTCATACCCAAGAAGCCAAATATGTAAAGCAGAGGATTTAAGGTAGCGAAGATCATTGGAAGCAGGATGGGTAGCTACAGCAAGAGCGTCCGCAGATCCCCATAGGTCTTCAGTGTGCTCATTCCAGTGCGCATACAAAGCTCTCGTACGTGAGATGAACTTCATGACATCAATGACGTATGTATGCCTAGGTCCAGAAGGAGTCGCTCGAGCATTACTGTTTCTTGAGTCTGCCATCTTTGAGAGTTCAAAAGAAACTTATCTGAGAAAAGAAGTGCAATGTATACTCAGAAACATGAAAGCTTACATAAACTATAGAGATATGCACAAGCCTAAAGATTTCAATATTTCATTAGTCCGAAAGAAAACAAACTGAACAGAGACAATGAATCAAGAAAAATACAACAGTCTCCAAAAAAGTAAACTTTAGACGATTTTTTGGGAAGGCTAAGGTACCAGATTATAGGTTTTCATAGATTGAAACTAGGTTTAAGATTAAACTTGGTGAATGCCACTAATTTAACTAACCCAAAAAATTAAGTTAGGGTATAAAATAAACGCACCTCGAATACGAATCAACTAAGATCCGAAATCAAAGTCAGAGACGCGAATAGATTGAAGAACACAACTAGAACAGAAAAAATAAAACTATTAATTACTGCTAAACAATAACGGAGAGTGAAAAATATCACAGCTTGAAAAGAGACAGTGAATCGACGAAACACAATCTCACGAAATATATATAAAAGAAAAACAATTATCCAGAAAAAAAGAGAGTAAACTTAGAATTTTTTTTTTTTTGGGAAGGCTACTCATCAGATTTTTAGGAAAACCATATGTTTGAGTTTAATTTTGAACTTAGTAAAAGCAACCAATATTACAAAACCACAAAACTTAATTAAGGCAGTAGATAAACGTAAAGGAAATCTCAAATCAAAGTTAGAGTAAGAACAGACAAACTGAAGAACAGAGAAAAAACAAAACGATTAATTACTAAAAATGCTCTAAAATTAGAACGGATTAAGTGAATAACATGATCTTAGATAGAGTTTTGCATCAAATAACAAAAAAAAACGAAATTAAAACAAGTTGAATCCGAGATTAAGTATAAAAAAGGAACGGAAAATCAAGCGACATAAGTTTTATTTATAATGGTGATGAACGGAAAAATCAAAGAAGACACTTACTTGACGACTGAGGACTAAGAACGTAGTAACCACACGACGGCGTTTAAGCTGAAAAAAAAGATCCGGCGATGATCTCGTGAGAGCTATTTGGAGAGGCAATTCGGAAGACAGGGTACTTATTATATGGAAATTATGTGGGCCCCGCTTGGTTTTCTTTCTGAGTAAACGCCGACTTTAACCAACGGCCTTAACTTTATTGGGCCTAAACAATAACTAATAAAGCCCATTAATACCCACTTGTGCTACGCGTAGATACGACCGTCTTAACAGTTAAAAATATCTTTATTGAACCGAGTTCGGTCTTATATCAGTAAGATAGTGACTGTACTCGTCTGTGGATTATTTCAAAGGCGTTTTACTATTTATGAGTGGAAGAGTAAGTTTATTGATGAGAGTGTTGATATACAAATAAGGAAACAGATGAGACGCGACAGAGTTGCTCGGAGAGTTCAGCCGTCAAAGTACAAGTCGGAAAGATACAACGAGGTGAAAACCCTAGTTCTAGCAGCCTTGCAAGTAAGTACTCGATTTTGGATCCCCCTTCTCGTTGCCTTCTCCTCTCCCTTTATAGTGTACTCTCCACTCCTCAATAACCTAGGTTGACAAACCTTAAGGGGCCCCTCGTCAATGGGCCTCCTGCTCGACCCTTTAAGATGCTCGTTATTCGGCCGTCTTTGTCGTCTAGTCGCAGGGACGGTTGGACTTGGGCCGAGCGTAGGAAGAATCGATTGTTGGGCCGAGCTGGGTCATTCCTAAGTGGGGTGTCTCTGTTATTCGATGGACCCTGAAGGATGGGGCGCAAGCCACCTCTTACAGTAAGTCCCCCAAGTCCATTATCAAGTTGCTCGACAAATCGGGGATAGATTGTAGTAACTTGGGTCTATCGAGTGACAAGGTTGGAGTAACGGAGACTGCTTTAGGCGTGGTCGCTGAGATGCGCGTTTAATGAGTCGACAATGTCATTTTCTCGTAAGCTCGTCTTAGATTTATAGCCAAGCGACCTGTCTTGACTCGGTAACTGGGTGATTTGTTCATCGATCTCTCTGCCGAGACGAGCGCTCGACGGGATCATTCATTCTTCAGCTTACCTTGACTCGGTAACCGAGTGATTCGCTCGTCGATCATGTTGCCGAGACGAGCGCTCGACAAGTCGTCAGGATCATTCACTCTTTGGCTCGTCGAGCTGTCTTGCTTCGATAGTTGAGTCGTGTACTCGTCATTTCGGTGGATCGAACTGATGCAATAGGATATGAACAGCCGCATATAAATGGGCATTATGATAGATTTCGGCCCAATTGAAGCCCAACTAGGTTTTAATAGACCTAATGATGACTCTGGGAATTGCACCTCTCCTCCTCTATATATACTCTTCCACATTTTTTCGTCTTCATTTTCTTTGCCGCTACAGGTATTCTCTGCTCTCCCTTCTCTCTACTTTCTCTCTCTAAGTTGTTGTACAATATATACATATACTTATCGGTAAGATGTGCCCGCGAAAGAGATTGACGCGAGATGAGAAAGGAAATGATGTCGGGACTTCGTCGAGCCCAGCTAGGGACGTGACAACCAACGAACCTTTAGAGGATTTTGATTTAGTGCGTTGGGATGCGCTAATGGATGTGGAAGGTCTTAGCTTCTCTCAACGACTCCTGGTTGTAGATACCTAGAGAGAGCTCAGAGGCGACGGTGCGGGGAATGTTGCTGCAGAGATGTTGAATGACCCTCGGATCAGGCGGCCTCAACCATCGCGATCTAGGCTGTTGCGAGCAAACTCCAACCGATCTAGATGAGCAAACTCCAATCGATCGGGGTCTATTCAGTTTGTATCGGATAACGCGAGACGAGTAAGGGAGGAAAAACTTCCTCCTGCACCAACTCGTTACCTGGAACGCGGGGTTTTCGAGAGAGGGTCTGAGGTTCATCAGGAGTTATTGCGTCCTGCTAAAGTAAAGGGTCAATCGTGGACAAACACGTTTGAGGTGGAGGCGATGGTTGAGATAGTGGAAAATCTTCGGATAGCTTGTGATGCAGTCGGCGTGACTTATCTGATCCCGACTATCGAGCAGCGTCCCTTGTCACCTCCGGTAGGGTATCAGTGCGTGTACGATTCATACTTTTGGAGCCACACTAGCCTTTGTTTTCTGATCCCTCGTTTGATAACCTCCTATGTTTCGCGTCCCGATGTGGCCATCACTCAGATGGTGAACGGGTCATTTCGTATGGTGGTTGCGTTGATGGTGATGGCCGCTGAAATTTGCATCTCTCTGTGTGTTCGAGGAGTTAACATCCATAACTCCTTTGGATCATGGCCCTACTCGGTGAAGATGAGGGCGAACTACAATATTATCACCGGTCATCCAATCAAAACTCCGAACTGGCAACACCGATATTTCTTCATCAAGTCTGATGAACATGCCTTCGTTGAACCCCCCGGGGATGAGTTTTGAGTCTATTGGAACGGGCAAACTGGTAGATAGCTCGTCTCGGTTTTTAAACGTTTTGTGTAGTCTAACGTTTCTTCTCTTTCTGTCCAGTCGATCATCCGTTCTTTTCGTCAGACATCCCGGAGCAGCTCTACTCCAACGCTCGAGCCTTGGTTGAGCACGGCCAACAACAGTGGCCTGAGATAAGCGAGGAAAGGATACGTCGAGCCTTACACCGTATCGATCGAGGTAGGCAGATTCCTGCCTCGTCTCGTTTGTTACTTTTGATGGATTTATTACTTTTGAGACTTATGCAGGTGATTGGGATTCCAAGCTTCCGTGTGAAGGTCGAACGGGCAAGAAGAGGTCAAGCCTTTTCTCAAGAGAAGAACAATGAATGATTAACGAGGCATTCACGATGAAAGAACCCCCTGATCTTTCCAAGGCTATCAAGGAGAAGCGAGGAGAGTCTTCTCAAGGTGCCGCATTGATGAACATAATCGACGGTTTCGACCTCGGAGGGGGAGAGCCGTCTGGTCGAATTATCCCTTCTCCTACTCGGGATGCTGGTGCAGAGGCATCTGATCCGGCGGGTGGAGGTTGGAAAAGGCCGCGGGCTGATGAGTCTGAGAACCAGGCCGGCGATCTTAAAGCGATTTGAGCGCTGTTCGGTTTTGAAAGACGATGTCATGCTAACTGAGTTCAATTTCCCAGTTGGACAAACGTCCTGATTGGTTGGTATTCTGCATGACGGTACGAAGGGGCTGATCGGTCAGTACTTCGATTGTATGCGAGTGGAAGTAGGGTCACATTTTTCTTGCCGCGGTGATGATTGCTAGGGCCATCTTTTCAAGCGTTGGGTAGCGTGTCTCGGGGTCCGTCATGCGTTTGCTGGTATAGAATATTGGTTTTTGCTCGCCTCGGTCATCTTTAATGAGTACACTGCTGACTGCGATCGGCGAGACGAATGTAGAGGTAGAGCGCGTCCCCGGGTTCGGGTTTGGCCAGAACCGGCAGAGTGGTAAGGTAGGCTTTTAATTGACTGAAGGCTTCTTCGCACTTCTCGTCCCAAGTGAATCGCATATTTCCGCACAACAGTTCGTAAACCGGGAGGCACTTGTCGGTGGATCGTGAGATAAAGCGGTTGAGAGCGGCGATTCGACCCATCAACCACTGGACTTCCCGACTGTTCTTTGGGCTAGGAAGATCGAGGATCGCAGAAATCTGTTTAGGGTTTGCCTTGATTCCTCGCTGCGTTATGATGTAAGCGAGGAACTCCCCCAAAGTGACACCGAAGGTGCACTTCGCGGGGTTTAAATCATTCCATATTCGTTCAAGGTCTTGAAACATTCGTGCAGGTGGGCTGGATGGTCGCATGCATGTAGCGATTTGACCAGAATGTCATCGATGTACACTTCCATCGTCTTGCCAAGTCTGTCGGCGAACATCTTATTGACTAGACATCGCGCCGGAATTTTTCAGCCCGATGACCTTATAGGAGTACGTTCCTCTAACGGTAATGAAAGCGGTCTTCTCTCGGTCATAGGGGTGCATCGTGATCTGATTATACCCAGAGAATGTGTCCTTAAATGTGAGGAGTTCGTTGCCGGCTGTTGATTCGACCAAC